TTAATGGCGGGCACCAGGCTATAAGTGCTCTTTGCGAGAACCCTCTGGAGAAAAACATATATAAAGTGGGCGTTTTCGGTCACATATTTTCTTGGTTGTCCAACCGCAGACATATGTCTCAGACTGGTTAAGGTTGCCGGCGCAAACTTCTGGTTGTCTCGTCGGACACACCGGACAACGCTTTATTCGAGCACTGTATAGTAATAATAATGTATTAAGAACAAGGGTAGAAGCCAATTTCTACACATATTCAGCGTGTTTTTGTATGCTTTGCAACCATACTTTTTGCTATTTCTTGGAGTCTGGAAACATTTTCTTGAAAGAGATTCATTTGCATGGTCTGCCGCCCTCAAGGCAACATTTGTGTTCTATTAAATAATCGTAATCTCACTTCTGCGTGAAGACAGCACATGTCTCGTATTGCCTTCGAAAGAATTAAGCTTGATGATATTGGTGTAATTCCACTGCACCCGCGCATAAGCACTTATGCTGTGGAGACTATTATGGCTTGTTGGCAAGTCACCCCTTCCTCCGTGCCCACTTGAAAGTCTGTTTGCCATAACATGCAATAGCTCATCGATCTAACACTGAGTTTCGACTTCACAAGTACAGGCCACATCTGTGTTTATTCGTTCGCTGAATTTCTGTGGAAGCTCGGGGTTTTTGGTTGGCCAATGTGGTGCCATTTCCCAACGTGTTTAATCTGTATTAGCAGACAACCTACGTGACACCTTGTAGACAGCGCTGTCTGAACTAGGCTTTTCCATTTACCCGTGCCTCGGTCTGCTCGATACCAAATGCATATAGCAAACACATTTGAACACTGAGCGATGGTAGCGGGGGTGCAAATGAGCTAAGGTAATGGCAGTGTTCATTTCCAGAAACGACTCGTGCGGTACGGCTACTTAATAACTTTGCTGCTCTCTTGAGTACTGCCCAGCGCGTGGCCAGTGTCCAGGCACGGCTGAAAAAAATACAATCGTGTCCACTAGCGAACAATCAGTGCAAATTTTATACAGTGCAACTGAAGATGCCGGAAATATAACCTGCCGCTGCCGTGAATGCGGAGGTTAAGCTCTAAGAATCGTTAATCGATATCCGCAGAATGCGAATGGTTGGAGACCCTGCATGTGCAGGGTTCTCCCCAGGATGAAATTGACAGGGGCAGGGGAGGGAGGGAGGAGGGAAACTCAGGGGCGCCGGTCCGGGGGCATTGTCGAATCACTGCAGCAAGAACAAAGTCCGACACCTGCAGCTACAACACACACGCATCTATATGACTATATATATAACAACGTTATATATTAACTACTATACAACACTATAGCTTACTAAAAAACATATAACTACTACTAATAACAACTATTCAGAAGTAGACTAATAACACAGTTTATTATCTACTTTTGCAACTTATATAACGTTGTATATATAGTACAATAGATCGTGTGTGCTGTACTGCAGGTGCTGAGCTTGTTTCTTGCTGGCCAGTGCGGTCAAATTAGAAATTTCTTTGCCGAAGGTGGCCCTTCATTGCCAGTATAGGCAGCAGCGCCTCCAAAGCGTGACTCACTGCAGCCTGTTCGCTCATGTAACGCATTCCCATTTAAAAAAAAAAATTGTAGTTTTTAATCGGGCCGAATTAATTTAAAACGTGGCCGCAACGATTTAAACAATAAATTTTTATTGCACAAATATCTCACAGATGACCTGTTGGGCTAGTATGTCGCGAGATGGCGTGTGTTACGATTCCAGTGTTTACTTCCGTTCTGCGAGTTCAACTGATACAATCTTGAAAACATGCATCCTGATTCAAATTTTTTCCGAATTCTTATAACACTGTTATAGACTTTATTTCGTCGAATTACACGTTCGACACTCGTGGCAATCACCTCTACCGGATTTAGCTGTGCGTAAAATTTGGGCTACGGGCCTTGTCAGACTGTTTTTCGATGGGACCAAATTGGCTCGTGCTAACTTTGGCACGGCTCGAAAAAACCGTCCGTGTAAACGACCGGCTCGACCAAAAATTCTGGCACGGGCGCTAATTAGAGCTCGGGCTAAAAACGACCCGGTGTGAATGCTGCCTATAATGTGGAAGCGCAGTGCGCCATTATCAGTCGCGAATAAAATCGTCTTATTATTGCTGGACATCATCTCTATCCTTGAGCCCGAACCCTCTATAATATCAATAGTTAAGTTGCTTACATACCAAAGAGAACACTCATGGCTCAGAAGGAGCTCTAGATCAGATCATCATGCAAGGTCCAAGTGCTATTTGCAAAGTTGTGTACTAAATTAAATTTAGCTTGCAATTCAAGAATTACTGAATTATTGCAGCGTGTATGTGTACGACGTTGTCGCATTCCTGTAGTGTGCATGTGCACGTGTGCTTGGTGTGCAAGGTGCCCACGCGCGTGCTGATGCGTGCGTGAATTTGCTACGAGTAAGATTTGTATCATCAGATCATATTCACGAGTTTCACGAAATTGACAAATCTACTAGTACTTTAGCTCTATGTACAGATACAGTCACAGATACGCAAGTTTTTGCGATGAAGTTGGCACAACTGAAGTCCTAGATCTTGAAATAATATGATATAAATAATAGACGGCGTGTTTCGTAAACGTGAGACATCTAAAACTTAAAATAAAAGTAAAGAAACTTATATGTGAGCCGAAGGTAAAACACAAATGAGTAGAAACGTAGTTACTTAACTTACTAGTAATACTAATAGTACTAGTAACTAGTAAGTAATACTACTCTAGTAGTAGTACTAGTATCGTAGTAGTAGTGAGTACTGAGATATAAGTATCCACAGTAGTAGTATAGGTCAGTGTATAATAGGCCTACAGTAGGCCCTATGCTGCATGCATGCTATCAAATCATTGCTAAACGCCGTTAAACAATACTTTGGATATAAATTGAGCTATCTACTATTAGTTTATTATACCGCTTTCAGCTGCGTAATCTGGTTGCCGGCATCGTGGCATAGGCTTCCACAATTAATGCTTTGGTTTAACCTGAATTCAGAACCTAACAAGTTTACGAATTGAAGAACTACACACACCAAAAAACAAAAACAATTTCATAAGTACGACACGGCCGTACGCAACGCGGGAAAAATCTCGCTGCAGAACAAGCGACATATGCTTAAGTCTTAGGACGATAGAAACATCAGTGTGATCTATTTATGCAACTATAACTCCGAGACGTGCGGGCCATCTATAATAAACTCTCGCGAGATAAACTTGCTGTCAAAGCAAACTGCTGCAGCGGCCCTCCTTTGTACACAGTGAATCGGCACCCAGGCAGTTAGATGCGAATATTGTATGACTACTAGGCACTTAGGATATGGACTACTAGGCACTTTAAAAAAAAAAAAACATCCTACCCTAACCCTAACCTACACCTAAACCTAACCCTAACCTAACCCTAACCCTAACTTTGTTTTATTTAAAAAAAATTAATATAAATTAAAGTGCCCCTAGTAGTCAATACAATATCGCATCTAACTGCGAGTGCAGTGAATCGCCAGAGCCAGAGCCATCTGTCGTGGAGTTTGGCATCAACTTCAGCTGTTGAGAAACGTGGGGACAGTACTATGCGCCAATATTCCAAAGATGGTCAGACCTTCGCGTATACGTTATTGTGACGATGATTATATAAAGCTTGTACCTTCGTGGAGTCAGACCAGGGTTTAAGCAAGCGTATATCGAAATTACGCCATTATTTAATATTCATGAATATTTAAGGCCATCAAGGACAATGTTGGCTCGGTGAAAACATCGTATGTTACAGAAAAGTCATAAATGAGGGCTGCGGCTACGGCGACCAGCGCGTTCCTCCCATTGGTACAAATTCTCTCCCTAGAGGGCCTTATTATTATTATTTTTAATTAGGGATAGGCGTTTAGGATTAGGGTTAGGGTTAGAGTTTAGGTTAGGATTAGGGTTTAGAGTTTAGGGATTTCGGGTTAGGGTTAGGGTTAGGGTCAGGGTTAACTGATTTTGATTAATGTTTAATTAATAATGCGCCATCTAGCGGATACACTATCTCTCACATGAAACCTACTATTTCGTGGCTTGGCGAGACGCGCTCCGCTGTCCCTAGTGGCACCCTAAAATGAGAATTGACAATTATAGAATATAGGCCTACTGCGCAATATAATTACAATGAAACAATGGATGCGTCAATGCAAAACATGTTACATGTCACGGCCCGTCAGCGTGATTTTTTTTCCTAGGTGAATCAAGAACATAGGGCTGTAATGAGCGCTGCTATTGGTTGATACAAATCACGTGCCTCAAACTCCTGTTTTATGGTGCATTCACTGCATTGTGACCCTAACCCTAACCCTAACCCTAACCCTAACCCTAATCCTAACTCTAACACAAACCCTATTTTTAAAAAATATATAAAAAAATTAATTTTTAATTGTTGTAAAAATTATTTGTTGTTATTAAAATGTTGTAAATAAATCATGTAAATATTTGCATTAATTGGGAAAAAAATGTTAAACAGATAAAGATAGAAAAATACAGAAAACAGAAAAATAATTAGAAAACGCATGGGATTCGATCCTACGACCTTTCATACATGACGCCGGCGCTGTACGCGCTAGGCTATCGAGTCATATCGTAAGTGAAAGTTTTGGATGTGCTATGTATATTACAACATTGTGCCGTCATTGAGCGACAAAACAAGCTCAACCAATAGCAGCGCTCATTACAGCCCTATGTTCTTGATTCACCTAGGAAAAAAAATCACGCGGCCCGTCATGTCCGGCTAATTTTTACATACATAATGATAGTATCAGCGATCAGTTTAGGGTCAGCTGATTAATGAACGAGTATGTTCCAGGGATTATCTATAGGAAATGTGAACATCTCTTGGAGGTGACATCTTTTGAAGATTGTTCATTGAGTCATGCTTGAATTAATAAAAATTAAAACGATTATACAATTATCGTTTATTATAATAAAATCTATTGTATTTCATAGTTCGACAGTGAGCTGAGAGCACGATGGGACCAAGCCATGCAAGATGGCGTGTTTAAATACACATTGGATCACATACGGACACGAATACTTGATGGACCTTTGTCACTTGTTGCCCAGGTTAGGTTTAGTTGTGCAAATACTGAAATAGTCTCATGGAACACAAGGTCTCATAAGTATTCCAATCATATCCATGGTGTAAATTATTCTATATGTAAGCATACTGTGATACCTACTCATGAGTCATATATGTATACAGCAAGGATTCTAGTTAACAAACTGAATGCCATTCTTGTTGATTTATAGCTCAATGTAAAAAGGGCGTTGGAACGAAGAAAACCACAGGAGATAAGTAGTTTGTGTCAACCATTCAACCCAAAGATCTTCAACTTTACAAGGATCTCACAAAGAGAGGTAAAAAAAATGCATGTCATTTTATATGACATTCGATATCTTGTTTTTCAGTATGTATTATATTCCTTTAATTAAATTCCTGCATGTTCAGTTGCTTTTTTAACACTAGGTCCTATCTTGCATCTTTATTTCAGATTCTATTTGTACTCAAACGCAGAGAAATCGGTGAAGAGGATCCATTGGGGGAGCTGGTAAGTGTGCTGCCTCGTGGGACACTCAATTCATATTCAGACTGATGAAAGAATGATCAGTATAATCTTAATCATCTTGATATCGTATACATATCATATGATAACATATACCTCAACATATTTCCATAGCAGGAAAAGGGAGGAGGGAGTGGGTGCAGAAGCAGTGCCGCGTAGAATGTATATCACAAGTCCACGAGTGATTAAGGATTTTAATTTTTCATTTACAGCGGAAGCGCTATCAGGATGAAAATATTGTCATAGTGAATGTGAGCCCATTGGAGTATGGCAATGTGCTAGTAGTGCCATCTCTAGGAAAGTGCCTGCCTCAGGTAATGCAGTTGAATTCCAAACCAACCGTACAACTAATCCTGTGTGGTGTGGAGTGTGGTGTGTGGCGTATGGTGCCTGTGTTTCACCATACTCATATACTTACTTCATCTTCTATATATATAAAGTTGTTCAGCCGAATTAGTCCGTACTCGCATAACTAGAGAAATCCGCAGCCTAGAGGGAAATCTATATATATAAAGTTGTTCAGCCGAATTAGTCCGTACTCGCATAACTAGAGAAATCCGCAGCCTAGAGGGAAACTAAAGATATTTTTAGAATCAGCACGTCTGGGAGGTGGTTCTGGCTGAAACAAAAATTTAAAAACGTTAAAAAGTTAAAAATTGATAAAAAATCTATTCATCAATAGATGGCGGTGCGTACAGATTAACATCACGTACGTGTGAATCCACAAACTGCATTCAGTGCCCCTTCCCACACTCAGGATAATACCACTGCCACAATGCTAGCACTATTTTTAAAGTGGGCGGAGCTCCGGGGAAATCCAGCAAATGGCAATCCAACGGCCGCAAAGTCGCCGTCGTACAAAACATTAGAAATTTCTATGATTTGCATGTTTGTTGGTGGACAAATTTAGATGTTTTAAGCTGAATACGCACAAATGTATCAAAGACAATGTTCGAGAATTAGGTATATTGGCAATCATCCCAAAAATTCATGATAAATACGTGAACTTAGTTTAGTAAACAGCGTAATGATTTGAAAGTAGTAAATGGGCGCACTATTTCGTATCACTATTTTATCAAATTTCTCATAAAATACTGGTTGTATTTTTAATATCTTTGCAGCTTTTATAAGTACACACCGTATTACATAGGACAGGAGTAACGGGGTCGCTGTAAAACTTATAGTAAAAAAGCGTAAGAAATTCTTACGGAAATCAGCTTGTGGCAGTGGTAGAATTGAGCCAGAGCGAAAGCGCCATCTGTCGTGGAGTTTGGTGAATCCATGGTCTATACCCTTAACGGCGCAGTGGCCTAATCGCTAGAACATCCGTCTCCTACACCGGGATTCTGGGTTCAAGTCTCAGCTGGGGAACTTATTTTAACCTTTACCTACCTCTTTAATATGTATTATTTTTAATTTTTAATTAATTTTTAATTTATTAAATTTATTATTTTTTTTATTTTTATTTTTAATGTCTTTTATCTTTTGATTTCTTATTGTTTTTTTTTACTGTTTGGGATGGGATGGCATGGGATGGCATGGCATGGCATGGCATGAGATGGGATGGGATGTGGTGCGATGGGATGGGATGGGATGGATAGATAGTTAGATTTTTTTGGGTATTTTCCTTTCAACCAAGCGGTCACCAACTGAGTAACGCCACTGATTTCCCCGGGCAACGCCGGGTATCCCGCTAGTACTAAATAATATCGACGGCTTTTACTTTTGGGTCATTAGAGTTTACAGAGGTATACATGAAGTTGTACATGAAGCTAACTGTGTCTTCTCTAGATACTTACGGAGGATGCCATCAACTTGGCTTTGGAAACAGTACTGCTTAGTGCTCACCCGTAAGTGTACTGTTGCATTCACGTATGCACATCTATTCGCACATGTATTTCCTGTCTGAAATCAATTCGTAAGCCATATCTTATCTACGCATTATTTTCACAACTACAAGAAAATCAGTTCAGTTATTAATGTTTGTGGCATTCAAAAGGCCATTAGCAGTGACGTATGTTACAACTTACTTTATTCATAGTTAAGTGGAAGAATGGATTTGTTAGCTAATTATTCTGCGGACTACTTCACAATATCTTTATTGTTATTCTCGTGCGCATTAGAATCAGGTTGAATATTGCTTTCAGATCCGCTCTTAGCCGTTTTGTCTTCACTATTGATTTCTATGTGCATTTCAGAGGATTTAGAATTGGATTCAATAGTCTTTGTGCATTTGCCTCAGTCAACCATCTGCACTTTCACGCATACTACCTGGAACATCCGCTGTACATTGAAAAAACGGTATTAATTAATAATATTTGTATGCAAAATAAAGAAAAACGGGGCAGTGTAATAAAATGATAAGTAGAGAGTGTTGACATGCATTACTAATATACCTGCTAACTACACAACACAATTTGTCATCTTGTATAACATATTTGCAGTTTATACTTATAATTTATCTTTAAGCCGGGTGATTTGTATAGAAGTCATGTTCGTTTGTTTCTACTGCAGCCTGTGAAGAAAATCTGTAGACATTGCTATGAGATCACAGAATATCCAACCAGGGGGTTTGGATTTCAGCTGGGGGAGAATAAATTGGAACTAGCCAGGTATGATGTGTTACCACGTTAATAAATTTACATGTTATTAATTAATGATAAATAGCCACATATGCATGCACGCGCACACATATATTAGGTATATGAACAAAGTACTGGTATTACAATTAAGAACACGGCTCTACATGCCAAAACAGGCATGTTTTTTGTTAAACTCATCACAATTACTGTTTCGTGTTTTAGGATTATGTACAAGGTAACAGATTATTTTGTGAGGGAGAATATTGCTCACAATCTATTTGTAACGAGAGGATCGGCAATGGAAGGTGACACTACGCGACAGACTCTGAGAGCATTTCTTTGGCCTAGGAGACCAGTGTTTGGTATGTGCTAGATATTTTTCATCATCACCACAAACATGTTATAGAGAATAACACATAATCCCACGAATATCCATACACTGCATCAGGTTTTGATCTGTAGAAATACATCATGAGAAACCGCATTAACATAAAAATCTGTACAGCACACATACATATGACCATTGGCTATACTATGTTTCCTTTTTGTTCAGGAGCAAAGAGTGAAGACTTATTTAATACTGCAGTATGTGAACTGGCGGGACATCTGCCGATAAAAGGTATGAGTTCAATAGTTCGGTTACATAATACTAATAGTGTTCATGCACAACATAAACAAAATGATTGTAATATAATCAATGATAAATTATGCATCGTTTCAGTGGGTGATCAGTTTGACACGATCACAGAAGCGCAGGTGCGTAACATTCTGTCGGAGGCCTCTCTATCCGCAGTGGATTTTGACAAGGTCAAGCTCAAGGTCATTGAACTGTTGGAGTCGGAGGGCCAGTGACCTTTGTAATCCCCTTGAAGTGATTTCAGAATGATTCCTTATGAATGATTCTCATTGTACCAAGGTTAATGTCAGATTGTTGTTATGTTCTCAAGTGGATTGAATCTGAATGGCTGCACTCAAACTGACCAATATGGCTATTTATAAAGTTGCTACCCAAATTGAAAAAGATTTGAAACTCAATCATGGTGAGCTTTTTCCGCTCGGCATGACAGTGCTGTGTCAAACAGATGCAAACCAATGTCGAAAACTCGGTTTATACCTTAAAGGCATACTAGGCCCATCAATTATGCAAAGTTGACGAATGCTACAGTAACTGGCACCTTGTGTAGTTAATAAGTACATTACCTTATAGCCAAACGTGTATTAGTTTGTCCAATATCACTGCTGGTTACTAAGAAATGTCTAATTGAAATCCGTAAATTTGGTAATCTGGCACCAACGCTAAATTGCTTGCCAAGCAATATAGCCTCGAATTCGGTTAGGTGACGTCACATGATGCTACAGGATGTTGAGCAGCGAATTGTTTGTCCCAGGTAAATTGTTTGCCTAGTGACACGACCGCAGTCGTGGCCTAATGAACGGTTACACACGTCTTCAATTTCGGACACAGGTGTATTCGTTTGACCAATATACGCAAATACGCGTAGTGGCGTCTGCTTTCCCTGTTTAGTCCGTGGCCGTGGTTAGTCCGCGTTTCCCCCATAGTGTTGGCCCCCAACACAGCCTACTTCGTTATCATGAGCGTCCGTGTTTTGTACGTGGATGCCACGTTCATTACAATTAGAAGTACTTCTGTTACAATTATCACAAGCGTGCCACCTGAGCGCAATATAGCGGCAAGAGCTTGCAAGCTGAACGGTAATAGCTGGAGATGATCTATCAGTGCGCAAAGATACTGCATGAACGTAATAAACACGGACGCTCGTGATAAGGTAAAATGACAATGTAAGGATATAACGTTTTATCGGGCTGTCTGTTTACAGTCCGTGGGTGTCCGTCAGTTTTCGTCCGTGTGTTATGCACCATTTACGTGTTTCCCATTTCATAGTGTAATGAACTTGCTGTACGCAGGTTCGTACGATTCGTCAAATAGGGTTCTAATATCCTTTTTCACATATTATATGTTGCTTGTAATCTCAAGATCTTCGTATCTTCATTTATTCTCAAGAGTAAAACCATAACGTACGGAATGCGCACTCAGACCACAAGGATCGAAATCACTAACGGCCGAGCATACGTGCGAAAATGTCCGGTGCACTATAATCTGTGACACCCGATTCGCCGGTTACGGCCTGTCATAGCCGGTAGCGGTTTGAAACTGTCAACAACGTATTTATTTGACCGCGGATTTCAATTAGACATTTCTTAGTAACCAGCAGTGATATTGGACAAACTAATACGCGTTTGGCTATAAGGTAATGTACTTATTAACTACACAAGGTGCCAGTTACTGTAGCATTCATCAACTTTGCATAATCGATGGGCCTAGTATGCATTTAATAATAACAAATTTCCCGTTGCGCAACATAGCCTGCCCCTCAAAATATAATCCATTTCTCAACTTTCTGTGATGCATATATGTCAGTCACTGATGCCAATACCGAACTTAGGAGTCGGTCAAGTTCCAAAGCACAAATCGCACACTGTGATATAGGCTGTTACGCACAAATCAGTGGTAGGTATCATGATGGGTGCTGACTAGGTATAGTGTGAGGCACTGAAATGTCCGTATATGTTAACATTAGTGTAAACAGGTTTTTTTGTCATCAGTTTTTTGCCTGGTGTAATTCGATTCTATAAATTATCGTTAGCGTGAAAATTTACCCCTTTGACCGCTAATTTTGTTTTAGCTAAATATTATACAAATATTTAGGCCTCTCGACTTTCTGCTTATTTTAGCATTTTATTAACAAAACATATTACTGAAAATGCAAATATTTACCACGAATTGAAATTTAGAATACCCTATCAGCACCCTCATGATATGGCAAGTGGAATACTTAGATAGTGATTTTGTTTTGATGTTTTAAAAAGGCATTTACTATAGCTATATATTTAATTGTTACACTAAGATAAAGCACTCGAATGCATACGTGTATAAATAAGTACAATAAAGTGTTAGATTTAGTTAATGTAAGTCCAAGAGTAATAAGGATATGGTAATGGGGGACATACATTGATATCTATATCAGTGGACCCCACAGATTAAATTTGCAGCTAGATAATCACAACTTTACGGCTAGACTTTAGTCGGTGAACACAAAAGCTGCAGCATACATACTGAACAGCTAAACAATCCTCGTGAACATTCCAAATTGTGTTCCGGTTTACATTTGCATTTACGTGTAATATACATATTTAAACATTCGGAAGGTGAAGCCCAGCCATGCGATAAATGCTTCATTTCGCATAGTCTTTGCTTCTCTGTTCTTCTTTTATGAAATGAAAGTAGTGGTTTTATTCTCTTCATGCTACCAAAAACAAAAGATCTAAAAAAACAACTGCTGTTGTTTTTTTTTAAATATTTATTGTATTCATTGATAAAATTGTATTCACAAACAATGTAACATGCCCTGCAATATATCTGCAGTGTGCACAATATCGTGACCCCCATGGCTGCCAGCGGAAGTGCAATATGCAGCTAATTAGAGCAAGACTGGAACGAAATCCATCATAAATGATGTCTACGCACGAGTCTGGTTTCCAAATATTGTACCCACTTCGATTAATATATTAACGTATGATGAGGTGGTTGGTAATTAGTACAGTGTAGCAATACAATAATTAACAGAGAACGTGTAGCACTGCAATAAGTGAATTGCACTACTCGACTCATTTCAATAATAAAATTCAAGTACTATGCTGCAAGTGCATCTTCATCTATTCTCGTGTCTAAAATGAAAAGACTTCTATATCAACTGTCCCTTTCAGCTACCTTTTCATCCACCTGATTCACACTACATTAGTGCAGCATCTGGAAAATTCCTTTTAATTGAGCTACCTTTTAGATTTGACACATGATTTGTACGACCGTGTTAAATTTATATATATATATACATGCGTACTAAAGAGTGAGTCAACAACATTCAACGTCGATAACGAAGAGAACTCGTAAAACCCCTAGCAAGATAAGGCACTTTGACGTTCAATATTACAACAACTTTGATATGATACTTTACGCGACCGCGAGGGAAAGTGGGCGTAGCCGTGACTCTGGACGACGATCTAGCAACGAGCGTGTCTCCGTCGTCGATCGATCGTTAGCGACGCGATCGCTCTCAGAATGTGGTCTGTGTTCAGAAAAATCCCGTGGATGGTTGGACAGCCGGAATTCTCGCTACATTAAAAAATACGACATCGGCACGATGTGCACGCGCGTCGACGTCATCTCGCCATCACGCTCGGCCGTCATTCAACCAGAGGAATACCTGTCGAGCAAATAACGTGGCGTGGCGGAGTAAGGCTTTCGACCACCGACCTCAGAGTGGCGAAGGAAAACGCGACGGCATCTCGTTCATTTCTCTATTTACAAAACCCACGTCGTGCTGCGACGGTAACCGCGTTCATAGAAAACCGTCTTCGGCGCGCTTTCGAACATCGGCGATGATATGTCACGTTATGGGGAGGGGATGGCGTAACCTTCGTGGCAGGTTCGGACGCGTTCGCGAACCAAAATGGCAGACGGACGACTACCGAGAGTTAAGTGATAAAATCTAAAAATAAAACATTTTACGAACACCTCAACATTTAGACGCAAAAGCAACGTTCGCCGTCCGAAAAGGCGAGAGAAGAAAAAATGGGTGTAATTTTAAGTATCGCTACGTGACACGTTCGTACGAATGCTACATGAAGTGAGAGGACATCTGTACAATCGACTACGGAACTAGAAACCACGCATGCACGCACTTGATATTACGACCCACCGTGACAACATACCCTCGACTTCTGCACGTTTGAGAGCAGACGAACATTAAATTCGAAGTATGGTACCAGTGTGATTGTTCCAGTGGTGACAATAGTGCTAGTGATAACAATAGTGTCAATAGTGACAATTGCGCCAGTGGTGACAACTGACATTCGTGACATCAGCTACAAGGTTGCCACCACACCACGGCAAGAATCCTACAAAAAAATCTGTCGAAAAAAACGGAAGGTCCGAGGAAGCGCTAAAAAAGAGGGGAACTTCCCAAAGACGACGTTAGCCTATCAGACCTGACCGTCTGCGACAGTAGGGGCGTCGAGCGTTCTGCGCCTAAGGAAAACAGGAGTAATATTCGCGAGACGCGGACGCAAGAAAGGGTTCAGCACACGTTAGTACGCGAGGTCCACGAATGATATCGCCCTGAGAGGTAGCAGTGTTAGTTATCGTGGCAGGAGTATCATCGTTCAAGTGTGGCAGTCACTGATCTGTGTATAACGACTGGATTTTGCATTGTCACGTCGCGACAATGCTAGCAGACGAATTCCTGTAGCGGCCATATTTGTAGAGCGGGAATCGGCTTAACGCTTGCTAATATAATAACGTGAGTTGGGGTGTTTAACCTCATTGTCAATCACCGTCAATAACTTGACTTTGGGGCCAATCAACATGACCGCCAAATGACATCACATTATACCCACAATGCTCTATCCAGTTAGTAAATATATACATACATATAGATAGGTGGTAGCAGTAGGGAAGACGAGGCTCCACCGTCGTTTGGCGTCAACCATGCAATTATGATGCTAGAAGATTGGCATGCGTGCAACGCGCCCATTAGGCAAACTCAGAAATGCGCGCGCCTCCAGGCTTTTAAGTACAACGACTAATAAATAACTAACGGAAAAACCAGCCAAATAAATCGACGTCCTCGGCTCCCGCGACAGAGAGCAGACGCAAGCAATGCCTTGCAGGCACCAGCTGGACCTCACTATCTGCCGGGTTCCTGGCACCGATTCACACCTATTTACACACTCGCAAATTATAATTATAAATATACCTAATTATGTAACAACAACAACAACAACAATAACGTACAGCGTCTATACCGTGGTTTTTTGCCATTTTCCTCCGATAGCGAAAATTATTAAACCTCGTGTTAAACGCGTTCCCACCACATGCGCGGGAATCGCTGCTGCTCATGGAATCATAGTCTAGTATAAACGAATCTTTGGTAAGAAATGAACCAGGCCCGGCTCCCACGCCTCGCTCAACAACTCTATATTACAAGCTTGCGTGTGAATCGAATTAAAACCCATCCTACAGAGTGTCCGACGGCACCCATATTCGGGTGGGAGCAAACAAATACCTTTTGACGAGCTAGGAAGGATCAGCGTTCAAGATTTGCATCTTTCGGAAGAGCCACGACCCCCGACGAATTCTACTGGAGAAGCGACAACATGAGACTGCCACGCCCTCTATGCACCCACCGGTCTGCACAAACACGGGCGTCGACGGACAATTCGAGGTGAGGGACGGACACTTTAGGAAAAGACGGAATGTAAGCGTGGCGCGTCGCCCGCCATTGCATGAAAGCGTCACTCTACAATGACTGCAGCGACCGCAGACAGTGCCCTCACCGCCCTTCGTGCAGTGACGTGCTGCTATAATTCTCGTGTCAGCGTCCGAACTATTTCATGTCGGTCTGAGGTAAATGGATCAGTGCCAATACATCCCACTACGGTGAATCGTGACAATATGGATTATTATATTATAAATAAACTCCACTGTGAGTAGATATTGCTCTGGAATATGATGTTATCAATATATGGATGACGATTCATGCAGGGGAGAGATGGCTGCGAAACGATTGCACGACAGCTACACGTGCAGAAACGAAGTTTATCGCAATAACTGAAAACAGTGAAATAATATACAAAAATTCGAAATGGGAAATGAATTATGCGATGAAGATATAAACGGGATTGATCATGACATCGAAACCACTCAGCCTCACTTCCACTTAAGAAACCTCGTAAATGAAACGAAAATATTTGCCGTCATCATCTGGCTCTTACACCTACGAATAAGACTCAATTCAACCCCCGCCAATCATTTCGGTGAGGCAGGGCATGAATCAGTGCGCACTGTATGAAGCTCTTTATACACGGGCCAACTCGCATGCAAACGTTCCATCCTTTAAAATGCGCTACCCATTAAAAAAAAACCTCTTGAACGTCAACGCCTAGCGAAAACAATGTAAGCGAGTCAGCGTTTGATTCACTCTACTCCTACTGTGCTCGCCAAGATTCTAAACGCACGCATATTCAGCGGGTACTGGTGTCGGGTGTCCCCAGCTATCTTTCCGTCGCACCTTCACAGGATCGTTGAGCGTACGTCTGCACACGCTGCTCACGTCAGCTTGTCCCGGTCCACGGAGGAGCCACTCTGCGCTCTGCATTACGCCTGTGACCCAGACCCTTGCCATCGCAGCGCTCGTATCGCGAAACCACGCAGCACGTGGATTAACGTGCGAGCGAATGCAGACTCGCTAGCTGCGCGAGAGTGATGAGGAGGCCGTGCCTGTGACAGAACGCGCGAGCGAAGTAGGGAATCCAAGCTGCAAAACCGAACGCAAACCTGACCGCCGTCGACGTTGGTTCACCGCGCAGTGAGGAAACCCAGCCGCCGCCGTGTCGCACTCCCTCTCTCCCGCGGTCAAAGTAGAATGCCACCACGGCAGCTCCCTCTCTCCCTGCCACAGCCTCGCTCCCTCTCTCCCGCGGTTGAAGTAGAACGCCACCACGGCAGCTCCCTCTCTCCCTGCCACAGCCTCGCTCCCTCTCTCCCGCAGTTGAAGTAGAACGCCACCACGGCAGCTCCCTCTCTCCCTGCCACAGCCTCGCTCCCTCTCTCCCGCAGTCGAAGTAGAACGCCACCACGGCAGCTTTCTCTCTCCGTGGCAGACGTGGTTTTCGGGTGGTGTCCTTTCCTCCCCGGCCGTGAGCCGGGCCATCTCTCTCTCTCTCTCCTACAGAGGCACGGGGACGCCGTTGGCACACACCTTCCGGCGGGCGGGGCCTCCCACGCCGTCGCCGCCGCGACCCGGCTTTGTGACCTTTAACCTGCTGATGTCGTCGAGGTCGGTGCCCGACGGCGGTTTCTTGTGCCAGGGCGAGCCGACCCCTACCTGACCCTTCGTGAGCATCCTGTGATTCAGCCAGTCGGGCTGGCTCAGTTTCCGCGCGGGCGCCGTGCCGTCGCCCCGCCACCGGTGCACGCCAGGGGGCGCCGCCGAGGGCTGCAGCTTGCCGAGCGAGAACACGGACACGCACTGCTGCTGGTCGGCGTCCGCCAGGGGGCGCCGGGGGTTCGCGCGGCTCTTGTGCACCGCCTCCATGTAGTTTCGGCTCAGCGTCTCGACGTAGCCCTTGCGTCCGTCGCGCAGCGCCGCCGACGCCGCCGTGTAGTTGGGGCTGCCGAACCACGAGCTCGTATACCCGCGGTCCCCTCCGCCGGCGCCCCCTCTTGGCACGACGTAGATCTCTTCGTCGATGGCCTCGTACGCGCACGCCTCGTCGTCCGTCGCCAGGGAGCGCCGGTGTAGGCTGCAGTCGCTCTGGCAGGAGTCGAGCGAGTGGCAGCCCGAGTCGGACGGCGAGCGTTTGCCTGTCGGTATCGCGGTGCGCCACAAGAGGGCGCCGTCGTCGTGCGTGTCGAAGACCGAGTCGGCGCTGGTCGCGGCATCGCCGTGGCGACCGTTGACGTAGGATGCGGGCGCGGCGCCGCCGACTGCCAGCGTCTCCAGCTGCGAGAGGAACGACGAAGGAAAACACGATGAGAATTAATTGATCAGCAAACCAGAGACTCGGTACTATACGATACGAGCGCGATACAAATAGCTATATAATATGATATAAAATAATTTTAGGATCCAGTTTAATTACATCCACACAAAAAAAGTATAAAATATATAAGTTCTCTAAGTGAGCGAAAACACACATTTTAGATCTAGAGTTAAATACAAGTACACACGTTTGATATAAAATTAAATAAAAGAGATTCATGACATAGTACAGATACTCCCACTTATGATATATATCATTACATTGCTATACAGAGTAACAAAAATGCATTCGTTAGATATCATTACTCTGCATTACCATGGTAATGGCTTGCTAAACAATTGTGGCGAGACCTACAGTAAGATACATATAACCAGATCCTTTTGAGTGCTTTTATAATTCTCATCTCACCTTTTCAGGCTTGTAGCTTGGAATAACTAGATTGCCAAAGCAGCAGGAGGCAGGCCTATGTTTAACCGCTGGTGCAAACTCATCTCCATAGTTGCAGTTCACGCTCTGAAAAATACAGCATACGGTTTATTGATTATCACAATAGATGAGACTAAACTCAATCTATTTCTGTTATTAGCTATGTATAATATGTGTGGCATTTATCTCTCACAGCATGTACCTACATGACGTCAGCAACCCAGCATGGGAGGTGATATTATCACCCATATTAGCTTAGTATCTCGCACTTTTCCGGTGACTGGTTATTATGCAGATACCTGGGGCTCATAACATCGCAGCAACTCATAAACAGCAGCCTCATAAGCATCATAACTAGTTATGACTATCGCGAGTCTAAAGGTTATCTCTGGTGCTCCAGACCACATCACTGCGACCAAATCAATCTAATAGCATCGAGGAATCCCGGGAGCAGAGTAACGCACTGAACATGAAGCCAACTGAAGCCAAACAAAGGCAAAAGTAAAGCCAACCGAAAAATACTCCAGATTTCTTGCAGCCACAGCGGACATCATTACACACTGCTTACCGTCGGTTATACACACGAAGAGATTGCGGCAGGCCCATTTGCCTGCCGATTCGTACAACTGGTAAACAACCGGAACTCGACAAAGGTACACGCGCATCCCAAAGCTTCATCAAGCCTCAACGTTAGCAGGTCTACAGCGTGGGAAGCAACGCCGCGACTCGGCGACCAACGGGTTCAGACCCCGTCACGTGACTCACCAGAGCGCGCGTCTTGCCCTCTTTGCTGGCACTCCACTTCATCAGGGCACTGCGAACCTCCGTCGGCGACGTGGGGAGCGATCGACTCCCCGGCATGCTCTCTCTCACCGGCACGTTGTCTTTACTGGAACCGTTCGCAAGCACATGAGTTAGACCAACGTTCATCCTGGTACTCACTCATACCCACTAACAACACTAACAGTGACCCTAATTTAACCTTAATTCATCCTGGCACTAAAACCCTAATCCTAATCCTAGCACTTATGCTAACCCACCAACAACACTAACAGTAACCCTAACTAACTGTAATACTAACCCTAATACTACCAATAATCATAATTCTAGGTTTAATCCCACCACTATTGATGCTAAAACTGAGCTGGCAGGTGAGCTGGGAGGTACCAGCAGCAGGTCGTCCAGCTTTCCTAACACTAACACTAACACTAACACTAACACTAACACTAACACTAACTCTGACCCTAATAGTAACACTAACACAAGTCTGACTATAACCCTCACCCTAACACTAACACTAATGCTAACCCTCACCCTACCTCTAACACTAATGCTAACCCTCACCCTCACCCTAATGCTAACACTAACACTAACCCTCACCCTAACACTAACACTAATGCTAGCACCCACCCCTTGCTGCGCATGCCGTAGACTAGGTCGTCGTAGCTGACCGGTGAGCTAGGTGGCACCAGCAGCAGCATGTCCAGCTCCCGCGCCAGCCCCTCATCCTCCTCGCATATGTCTACGATCTTCTTCGCCTCGGGGAAGCGAGACACTGACGCCCTCCTGTAGATGCAGAGAGAAGCAGATGATGAAAGTACAGAAGCAGACAATGAATGTATAAAAGCAGACGATGAACACACGCGGAATACGTACAGATGCAGACACAGCTGTACAGATGTTTTTCGAGGATTGATTGTCGAAAATCAACTAAAAGCTGCAACTCCTAAGATATAAACACGGCAGTCGCTAAAAATTAAAAAGGCATGCAGCTGCAGCTAGCGATGCTATTGTCGTATTACTCTACCACACGTTTCATTGCCGAAACCTCTCGAAAATGAAGGCATGTAGTTATCTGGGTGCGCAGCAGTTACCTGTGTGTGTGTGTGTGTGTGTGTGTGTGTGTGTGTGTGTGTGTGTGTCTGTGTGTGTGTGCATGTTTGTGTGTGCGTGCGTGCATACGTGCGTGTCCACTCTACACGTTTCATTGCCGAACCCTCTTGAAAATGAAGGCATGTAGTTATCTGGCTGCGCAGCAGTTACCTGTGTGTGTGTGCGTGCGCGAGCGTGCGTGCGTACGTGCGTGTCCATACATGCATGCATACGTGCATCTATACGAGTCACCTAGATGTGTAAAACTTGCCTGGGCGTAGAAACTACCTGTGCATCTAGCACTCACCTGGGCGTGTAGAAACTACCTGTGCATCTAGCACTCACCTGGGCGTGTAGAAACTACCTGTGCATCTAGCACTCACCTGGGCGTGTAGAAACTACCTGTGCATCTAGCACTCACCTGGACGTGTAGAACGGGTCTTTCTTCGTCATCATCTCGCCGATGTGCTTCAGGTTGATGCTGTTCACATGTCTGCGGATGATGTGCTTGCGCGCAGGACTGTTCGTCAGGTCAAAGCCGCTCGCTCGCCGCACGACCGGAGGCTTACCCTTAGCCTTGACCCCCTCGAACGACCGCTGCCGCTTCAGTGGCGCTAAATCACGACGAAATAACGATATGTAAATTATAAATTACGATAATACGTATGAGATAACGTAAGACGAAATAACGACAAAATCGTGATAATGTATAATAATATTGCAAGATGCGTGAGCAGCAGCGTGACACTTTACATTATGAGCTGGTTCGCTTCATGCACAATTGATGTTGTCATTCACTTATTCTATTATAAACTATATCATGCGCCACTGATGTTAACATTAATATAATTTATGATAATCTATTAAGAGGCAAATCAATGCTCAAGCACTGATATTTGCATTGTTTTAATACATTTATCAGGGTATTTTCTACTATTGAATAGATCGTGAACTATCGTATCGACAACCAGAGTGATTATCATATGAAGGTGCCATTTTTAGATTCATTTAAATATTGTAATTTTAATCTACAGTATTTTACAACGCAGATCACGTTCCGTAAAGCCACGAGCAGCAGACTGGTGAGCGCGCGCGAGATCGCGTCGGCAGCAGCGGTGTCGGTCGTACCTCGGTGCTTCTGCGGCTGCTCCCTCGGCGAGACGTTGGCGCTCCTGCTGCCGGCGTCGTCGACGGCAACCACCTTGTCCTTCACGGTGACGGCCTCCATCTGCCGCACGTGGTCGACGATCTGGTGCAGCGTGCAGACGATGTCGGCGAACGACGGCCGCTCATTCGCCTGCACCTGAATATGCACGATCGGCGAAGAAGCGGTGAGCACCGAGGCAGGCCTGACAGAGGTCGCGTTCGTGCGTATTTACGTGGGTATTGCGCGCTAATTACACTGCTTTATTATATACGCGCATTCGCACGTCATATTACACCCTCGTGCATATTTTTACTCGTATTTCATGCGTACTTATGCATAATTTGTGCGTATTGTTACAAATTTTTTTCATGCGTATTTATACTTGATTCGTGTGAATTTTTACTCATATTTCATGCACGTTTATGCAACTTTCACGTCTATTTACGATCCTTTCGTGTTTACTCGTATCTCACGTGTATTTACACATACGACAAGGACCAAGTTTATCACACCCGTCATATATCGTTCATATGTTGTACACACAAAATGTTTCGCTAAAGTCACACGAGAGCACACAACAACAACAGCGCACGTCACGTGCGTCGTGTGTGTGGCGGGCTTTTAGCACTTACGTTGCAACACTTGAAGGCCATTTTGAGAAACTCGGACGGACAGTCGCCACACAGTTCCGTGAAGGCTGTGTAGTCCAAGCCGAAATGCTGTAAGGTGAACGTTAAATTATACTGAAAAACGCACATTTCTGCTAATTATAATTATGTTACATTATTCCATTATCAATTAACTATTGCAATGGTGTCCTTGCACTAATAATTACCTGCAACATAACAATTCACCAATGCAATGACTGTCTATGAATCAAGTTTCCTATTATGCATTTTAAATTTTACAAAGTAAGAAAACATCCCTGCTCTCCTCCTTCTCCCCCTCTTTCACTCTCTCTCTCTCTCTCTCTTTCTCCCTCTGTCTCCTGCCTTCCTTCCCTCATTGTCTCGTTCTTTCACTCCCTCCATCACCTTTCTCCTCTCTCTCTCTCCTTCCCTTTCTCCCCGATATTCTCTCTCTTTCTCCCCCTCACCTTCTATCTCTCTTTCTCCCCCTCACCTTCTCCCTCTCTCTCCCCTTCCCTTCCCCCCTGTCTCTCCCTTCCTACCTCCCCTCCCCCCTTGCGTGCGTAAATGTGGAGGTCACATACGTGTGTTCGTGGCAGCACGTCTGGGTCGGCGTCGATGCGTGCGATCATCTCACACAGTACGATGCCGTAGGAGAAGACATCACTCAGCTCGTCATACCACTCCCCCTTGATGCACTCTGGTGACATCCAGTAGGGGGAGCCTACGGTCGGCAGCCGGGAATCGCGTCTGCACGAGAGCGGAAACAAGCAGTGGTAAATTATTTTTGCTCTTTTGTTTATTTGTTTTTGTTTTTTCCCCATTTTTTTAATGAAAATTCGCAAAGGTTTACTCCGCTCGTGGATTAGAAATTCAATCTTATTTGCTGGAACTATTTTTTAAATGAGAATCTCGTGGAAACAGTTTATAGAAAAATATTTACTCTTGTTTCTAAGTAGAAGTTCACAAGAAAATTGTTCAATTCAAATTGAAACTAAAAACGTAAAGCCATGAAATAACTGATCAGCTCTTCTTGAGAAACTTACAACGGGTCTGGTATTTTTTCTGCCAGTCCAAAATCTCCAACGATGGCTGTCATTTGCTTGCCGTCCTTCCTGATTAAAATGTTCTACAAAAGATGCAATTGAATAATTAGACCCCCAATCGGTAAGTCAGCCAACTGAGAACAGCATTAAAACTTAATTTTGCAAAAGAAATTCCTCAATATAGTTTATAATATTAATCACTAAAATTAATTGCGTTTATTGCCCACTTACCGAGCTACAGACAATCAAGATAAGGAAAGTAATCATTGTAGTTTATAGGCGGGTAGTGTTTAATGCATTATTATTTCATAAATTATTGATATCATACAACAATGTGCATTTATGTAGCAAATTAGTACATCAATATTACATGAAGGTTAGCTCGGCGGACGGTCTATCGAAATCAGTATGCAAGATGGTTAACCGAGATACACACCTAACGCAGAATACATTCTGACAAAGTGGAAAAGCCACAACACGTGTGAATCATGTATAACCACGCCGACACCCAATGGCGCATAACCAACACCGGTCGTGTTATTGCGAATGTCAACATGAAGTATATACCCATCCTGCACAACAATCCACATCAACCACGCGGACATGAATCGCATATCTATGTCAACACAGGCGCCGGTCGAAACTGGCACGCATATCACGTTTGTTACGCAGGAAACGCGCCGGACGGGTGGTAGCCTATTACACGTGCCGCAAAAACCATTCAGCAGTGCTTCTCATCGCAGCTATAGCCCCCACTTTAATATCATTCTCCGTGCATGACAACGACGACAATATGGACACAAACATCAAACAGGAGGGGGGTGGGGGCAACAAGGACACAGCGGGGGAGTGGGAGATGCGCTGTGCTTCGATCGCACGTGCGAGAATGCGTGAACAGCATGGACCCCACCGTGAATGCCAGGGACGATAATGAGTCTGCCACGGCCACTCACTCACTCTCTGCTCACCGTTTAGCACTGCTCAAGAGAGCTGTGCAGTATTACACAGTATATGATTGCGAGGTGCACGCATAGCTGCACGAGTTATGCGCACATTAGCAACTGGCTCGCGTGTCGGGCATCCTCCTGCGCAGTTCCCTGGTGTTTAGACAAACAGCAGGTTTCCAGAAGACGTGAGTTCCTGTTTACCACTGACGCATTGCATGCCTCTCTCCTTTATCTCGCTCTCTCTCTCTCCCCCCACGGCTCCCGTAATGGAATAACAACTAGTCTTAAACTATTCGACGAAAATTCATGCATCGCGCATACACCAACAAGACCACGAGACGAGATGCAAGGTAGCGAAGAACAAACGCCCTCATTGTATTACGTGCATTTTCGTGTATCGAGGATTTCTCGAGTCACTGAGGTTTTTAGGGAGCTAGCCTGCCAAACCGCACGCTTCCTCCAACCCACCACCGAAACAGCGCCACTCTGTTGGCTAGCTAAAGATAGAACATACCAGCCGAAATTTAAAAAAATGATTTGAAACCTTGCAGACTATTGCTGTTCTATATATCCCTGCCATAACAGTGTGGCGATGGCAGACCATCTCTGATTGGTGCTGCAGTGCTTAAGTACTTAGTTTAGCTTAGATACTAAGCAGTTTAGTCTGATTGCCATGTTATTTTATCTCTCTAGCATGTCACTGCCCAGCCAATATCACGCTACTGTAGCAGGGTAGCTACACCCAATTTTACTTATCGCTGCTAAGACGACGAGCATTGCCACACCACGATAAAACCTTCAACCTACACTCTGACCACACTCACAAGAACGAGGTTCAAGGTTTGTCACACCGCAAACAAAATTCGAAGGTCAGGGGTCATCAAACAAAGGTCACGAAGGTCACACAGGCGGAGAGACGGGCTGACCTTTGACGCGAGGTCACGGTGGAACGTGCCGCGGACGTATTTCACGGCACGAGTAAAAACATGAGGTCGCAAGGTCGACGGACAGAGAGGTCACAGAGGTCGTGCTGCTGACCTTTGACGTGAGGTCGCGGTGGAACATGTTCATGCTGTGAAGGTACTTCATGCCCTCGGCGATGTCCTGAGCGAGCTTGACCCTCATCGACCACGTCATCTCCAGTTGCTTGTTCTGTATGTGCTCGTCCAGGCTTGTGCCGTTGATGTACTGCAAGACGTCAGGCGACGCATCATTATCACACCGCAGTATAATATACTGCATATTATGGAGTAAAATGGAATATTACTGAGTAATATGGCAACTACTGAGTATTATGGCAACTACTAAGTATTATGGCAACTACTTAGTATTATGGCAACTATTGAGTATTATAGCAAATATTGAGTATTGTGGCAACTACTGTGTATTGTGCCAACTACTGAGAATTATGACAACTACTAAGTATTATAGCAAATATTGAGTATTGTGGCAACTACTGAGTAGCGAGTATTGTGCCAACTACTTAGAATTATGGCAACTACTGAGTATTACAGCAAATATTGAGTATTGTGGCAACTACTGAGTAGTGAATATTGTGCCAACAACTTAGAATTATGGCAACTACTGAGTATTACAGCAAATATTGAGTATTGTGGCAACTACTGAGTATTTGGGCAAATATTGAGTATTATCCAGCCACACGCTTCTGCTTAGACGTAACGCAATGGAAGCAGGCATTTTTCACGCGGCGGTTTTCGCGAGGCCTTGCGATTCGAACATTCGGCTGCCGGCACGCCCCCCATCATCCATTACACGCACTATCACCACCACATACTCTCCCGCACGCTGCTTACCTCAGTGAGGGCATGCAGAGCTCCTTCATGAACGCAAACACCCATGAACCTACAACAAACAGACAAAAACCGTTAGTCCACCGGCACTTCCGGGCGGGCGGGCGGTCGGAGGGGGAGGGGGGACGGAGGGCACAGTGGTGCCCTCTGTGTGTGGCCGTCGGTGACCCCGGCTGACCTCACGTCCCGCTACCGCGGCGGCGGCGGTGGCAGGAACGCGGGCAGGTGTGAGCTGCTACCTGAGTAAACACGGGTGCGCAGTGAGTGACAAGTGATGGTTCCAAGCTTTCCCTGCCAACACCAAACACCGCATGTCAACAAAGTCACCACGGCCGGAGCGAGCGTAAATAAACAAACATATCAGGTGGATCCAAGCCGAAACAGGAACGCCGCGACGGTTTATGGCAGTTATTACACATACGTGGAAGGAAGTTTCATTAAAAACGGGACAGGCGGGCTATTGTTTGGACAGAACCTACTAGTATTACGGTCGCGGGTTATTTTCACTAAATTACACAGTAGGTGGCTACCGCATAGCTTGCAACGGAAAAAGATCCGGTGATAAATGAATGAATCTTCAAAGTCTTTAACCCAGGGAATGTTCTCATCCGCATGCGTTGTATGATGCTAATGTTAGGTAGTTGCATGATTCCTCTAAGGCGATGTCAATAATTAATATAGGGAAGCTTATGAGCTGAGCTGAGGTTCTTATCATCCCCAACCATTATACTATGTATAATGAATCGTCTCAATAATTATCAATCAGAACATTACCACTTTTTGTACAGTACATTTAGACTCGTGTACTAAATGTCAAAGATATATTTGAATGAAAATGGACAGAATTTCGTGGGATTTCGATTGCTTAACTTACAATTACAGTGGCATTTGCAATTACATTATATTTGAACCACAATGGGTACCACTAATAACGCAAAAACTGAAATTCAAGTTTTAAATTATTTAAAAAATTTACGAGGTCTATTGTTTCAGTACTACTACTACTATAATTTTGCTGCTTCACCAAGCGTTACCAAACCGATTCATTTTAATGTTTACCATAGTAATTATATGAAGATTTAATATCGCATTGAATATAACATGTCAAACACGTGTGCGTGCGTGCGTGCGTGTGTGCGTGCACGTGTGGGTGGGTGCGATCAGGATAACATTTGAGCGCATGTAGAGGATCACGGACAGGACGCGTGGCAGTGATGCATACCCGTTTGGGACTAGGAACTCAACTAGGGCTACATGGAAGTTGATTTCACTTCATCTCGTACGTCACCCGACAGCAGTAGGAATCTGTGCCCACACTCGCTTCTCCCGCTATTAGCAACTACCACCGAGTAGCACGCAACATACCGCGTTAAACTCTGCGCCTATTGCAACAATCTCCAAGGTGATATATTACGCCGATACTGACGTGCGAGTGCGCGCACACATGCACGCACGCACGCACGTACGCACGCACGCACATCCCCCATGAGACTCCCTGCACACGTAAACGCTGGCACGCGATCAAATCCGCAGGATTTGAAATTGGGTCACATCCATGTGTGCACTGCGCGCACGCCGCGCGGACGAGCAAACCCGGGCAAGGTGAGAGAGACCTGTCAACCAACCAACCAGCAGTTCACCGGACAAACGCGGTGGCAGAAGAAATCCACCGCACCCCTCACTGCCATCCTGTCGCAACATCCCAATCCGCTCTCGTCGCATCCACAACGACATCTATTACAGGATCAAGCCGGTAGCGGATGGCTTGACCTTTTAAACGCAGAGGTCACGTACAATGCGCGCTCTGTCTCTCTGCCTCTGTCTGTGTCTCGTCATTTCACTCCCCTCTCTCATTCATATGCCCCCTCCCCCACTACACACTGACACCCGCTGTCTATCAACTTCCTCATATATCTCGCTCATCGCAGGGTGCTGTGTGCGTGCGTGCGTGCGTGCGTGTGCGTGTGTGTGCGTGCGTGCGTGACTATGCGTGCGTGTGTGTGCGTACGTGAGTGTGTGTTATGTACATGTGTGTGTGTGTGCGTACGTGCATGCGTGAGTGCGTGCGTGCGTGCGTGCGTGGGTGGCCCGCACACACAGTTACCGCTGAGGTGTGCTAGCTATTGAATCCTACCCTATGTTAGCTAGAGCTGCGTGTCACCTATAGCTTCCTATAGATCTCTCTAATAATAGGCAATATTATAATAGAAACGATGGCAAACTTGGTAAGGATAGGGTATGGTGGAAAAGATGGGAGACGACGATGATGATGGAAGATGATGGAAAAAAAGGAAAATTATGGCAAAGATGGTAACTGATAGCAAGAATGGAAGATGATGACAAAGTGTGATGGCTGATGACAAGGGTGGAGGGTGATGACAAGGGTGGAGGGTGATGACAAGGGTGGAGGGTGATGACAAGGATGGGCAATCAAAAACCTCTCACTTGAGTATGCGCGCGTGGTTGATATAGGTAATGAAGACCTCTCACCCAAATATGCACGTGTGGTTGATGGGTAAATTAGACCACTCATCTGAGTATGCGCGCGTGGATGATGGGTAAAGTAGACCTCTCACCTAAGTATGCACGGGTGGTTGAGCTTGTTCATGAGCTGCACCTCGCGCAACATGTTGGGTTTGTTGCTCTTCATCATGTTCATCTTCAGCACCATCACCTGTCCCGTTGTCTTGTGCGTCACCTGATAACAACAATTACACAGCATGAGCATACAAACAAGCCTACCTGCGACACAATAGAATATTACACACATACACGTGATGAGCTAACATGGCTGAGGCACCATCGCCTGTCCTGTTGTACTGGGCTTCACCTGACAACAGCAACAACATCAGCAGCAACAACAACAACAACAACAACAACAACAACAACAACAACAACAACAACAACAACAACAACAACAACAACAACAACAACAACAATAACAACAAAAATAATAATAACAACAACAACAAATACACAATGTATATATACAAATATCGAATACACGTTGCATGCTCATTCTTCCACACACCCCTATGTATGGTTCTATATAGTAGATACAGTCACACCTGGGTTTGCGCACACCTCTATAGAACGGACACCTGTCTATAAAGGACACTATTGACCTATTAACCCCACTTATTAGTGACGCTTATTTATAGGGTTGACTTTCTGCAACTATGCAGTGAAACGTGGAAATCGTCACCTAATACGGTGTTCAATACAAGACCTCAACACACCCGTCTAATTTTCCTCAACAGTCTCCCAGTTAACTGTTCCGAGCAGAGCTCGAGCTACCAGAGAATAAGGTAGTTTGTCGTGCTGATGCTATTGTGCCGAAGGATAATGAGTCAACAGGTGGGCGCAGCTGACTGCTTCCCAACTAGAACAAACGCTACCTTATTGGAGCGAAAGAATTGCTAACAAAAGAAGTTCAGCACGGCTTACAAACAGTAAACTGTGCGACAGCAGACGTAAGACACCCGAGAAATGCAATGCTACTAAGATGTACACTAGATCCCACTGCCATGTATGTATGTGAACTACTAAGATATACGTATATGTATGTATATCATGTACACTATCAAGAGCACACAAACACTTAAAGCCTATAGGAACGCATCTACGTGCATTTTTATTGGATTTGTATAGCATGAGGGTTTATGTGCTCTCGATACCATCAGGAGTAAATAATCATAAATTGGTGATTATTTACTCCTGATACCATGCATGTACATAATACATACATGTTTAGATGTACGTATAACAAACGTGAACACTGAACACGGAATACGACTTATCTCGCATATATATAATATATATATATATATATATATTAATATATATATATATATAGTTAATGCATAAACCGTTGCTTCGTGAATGTCAACAGTTTTGTAGGTGGCCGAGGAGAAACAAGGCACACGGCGATAAACCACAACAAATGTTCGTGATATACATAACTCCAACTGCCGAGCGACTGGATATATTTATCAGACACGTACAGTAACGCCTGTGTTAGCGGTCACCTCTATAGAACGGCCACATGCCTACGATGCGCACTTTGGTGTTCATTTGGTTTCAGTGGCTCATCCCTTAAGTGACCGTTATATGCAGGTTGGCTGTACTATAATAAATGCTAGCCACACACCGTGACACACGGCAGTTTCTTCTATCTCACAGATGAAAAATTTAATATAGATGTCTTGTTGACATTGGACAACAGTACAAATTATGAAGTGTTTTTAGATATCCTTCCTGTTTGCACACTGACAGTTCGGCGTATTTTGACGTACAAATTAAGATATTATTATGGATAGTTACACTTTTCAAATGTCAATACTGAGTTTGTACTTCCTGAAATGATGATTAGTTGCATTTAATGTGACAAACTAATTCACTGGTGTCGCCGGTGAAATCTTTTCCGAGCGTGACACAATCCAGTCAATGTTATCATACATGTAGCAAAATATACATATTAATACATGACAAAAAATGTCTGTCTCACTCTCTGGATTGTGATTATGAATGGGAGAAACTATTAAGAACGATGGATCTTGAATGTGCAAGATAAGGTTTGGATTCCTGTTCATTAGGCTACACTTAATAACTCTTAGATAGACTAAGGCTAGTATGTGGAACTGTCCGTGGTCTATGCGCTTGTCACACCGTTCACAATAGGTCCTAGTATTATTATTACCTAATTTTACATATCACAAAACAATTATTGTCTAGTTGTTCCGGCAACATTTTAAAGTTTTATGGACCTCGAAAAGCAACGTTACCCGTTACCTGTGGTATCATGACAGATAACCATGCAATAATTCTATTATATATGTGCGTTGGTGTATGCGTGTGCGTGGGCGTGTGCTTGGGAGTGTGCGTGGGGGTGTGTGTGCTAGTATTGTGGATTGTGGATGTTGTAGAGTGGGTGTGTTCATCAGGGCTGGCCCTGCTATATATGCTATAAGACAGAGACAGATGCTAGTACACGGGACATGCGAGGCGCTGTTTCGCGCCACACGCCAAAAAAACTGCGCGAACGAGTAAAGTGCTGTTTAGAAGCTTGCGCTAACTTTTCCTTATACCTAACATATTAACAGTTCCTCTATATTTCCGTCGTCAGAGAATCGCGACCGGTCACCAGGGTGAGATGTCAATTCGTCGAATTCGTCACTGTTGAAATCCGCTCTCGCATTTTCGTCCTTTTTACGATATATTTACTGTCCAAAAACATACTATATAATACAATTTCGAAGCCGCCATAGAAAAAAACCACTCCGTCGGCTGCTGTAGCGAACACCGCATAGACGCGCACGCGTCCTCACGAAACGTGCCTTCTACGCGGACCGGCGCGAGCGTCGGTAGCCATCTACAACCCACGTCTTCGCGATTCACTCGCGAGAGACCGAGGGACGAAAATAGCCTGGATGTAACTTAAGACGCAAGCAAACAGTGACGAAAGAAAAGCAATAGCAGTAGCGGCGGCGGGCTAGCGCACGTACACGCATTCCCCAACACAGGGACGCAGCATCACATACACATTTACATCAGGAGTAGATAATAGGGAAATGTAGATTCCCTATTATCTACTCCTGATTTACATATGCCTGTCAACGGCAGCGTCCCACGACGCGAGTTTTTTTTATCTCGTTCGCGAGAAAGATAGGTCAAATCAAATATTAATCGCGCCGAGTTCTTCACGATATTTGAATGCCCACGAGCAAACGCCCGTGAATAAAGCTGCAAGTATATGATGTGTTTATGTGGAGATGGCGATACGCTCTCTTGCTTTTAACGTCCCATTACATAATCCGCACATTTTGTCATCCGTTCTTATAAATAAACCACTGGAGTGAGAGAAACGGGAGAAACTGCTCCCTCCTTTATTCACGCGTGCCACACGTAAATTTCTCGCACACGAATACAAACGCGTAATGGAGTAACGAGTGACCTACATAGATGACAAATAGAATGACGAGGAAGGAGCCGACCCCCACCACCACCCCACACCTCGTAAGCACGAGTAATGTGAGCTTAATATACCGACAACTGTCCTCCCTCACGTCAGGCGGCGACCGTGCGAAAATGAACGCACTTTTACATGAAACGCCAAACCTTACCTCGTATCGCAAACAGGGCAGGCTGTACAAATATTTGGGTACTTATCGCCCGCCTGGCCCTGACAGTGACTCACGCGAACCGCACTGTGTATAATGTTATCAAGAGCGTATAAAGAAGGTTTCTTTATACGCTCTTGATATTATGTATATTGGCAAGCTCAACCGTTCTTACAACAAATAACGGTCGTGTGAGAGAGCGAGAGAGTACAGCTACGCAGCAAAGTACAAGACGATAGAGAAATATTGCGCTTCGCGAAGAACCCACAACTACCGGCATATCCGTTTTCACAACAAAAAACGCTATGCTAAAAAATGCAGCTGATCTCGTAGTAGTTATAATTTACATAAATTATAGTAATAACAGGCGCATACACCTATTATATTTACATCTACATCTACATGTGATCAGGAGTAGATAATACATATCTACCCTTGATCTAATCGAATCTAATCTATAATCAATAAGAACACGCTAACGTCATCACGTTACTCCTCGTCCGATGGAAAATTTAAAAAGGAGAAATAAGAATAAAACAAAAGTAAACGCAACGAAAATAAAAGAACGACGCGAAAGTTACGAAACGCAGGGGTAAAATGAATTAGGCAGAGATGACGCAAAGATGTCTGCCACAACGCATACGACTGTTATACAGCCCGCGGAGACCCGTCATCCGGTAAACCGGTGACACAAAGGCGGTAAACAACTACAAAGGAGCCACCGACACCTCCCCCCAAACACACACATACACCCGCATCCCCCCACACTGTGACGATCTGTCCCATATATATACAGACACACAACGCACACTAATACATTGTCCACACGCCATCTCTCTACTCAGTCGGTAATTTTGGGTCGATTGTCGCAGCGCAGGAGTAGAATCATGCGACAACAGAAAAGGGCCGATTGCAATGATTAACGGTGTGAGATGGCACGCTATAGAACGAGGGCCGATAAATTATCCGTTCGTTAGGGGGTTTAGCCCACATTGTGCGCTATCATCATTGACTTCGCTTGACATTTCTAATGGGCTTAGAATCGCAATACACGCAAATATCGCAATTGGACGAAAGTGTCGCGTAAGTGTCACGCAATTCACGTGTCGCACATATCTGTCGCGAAAATGAGCGCATCTTGTTATTCACAATGATTTTATACACAAAACTCCCAAATTCCACGGCTAAATTAATGTTAACTGCATGGGAAAGAGAAAGAGAAACTGAGGGGGAGAGAGCGAGAGAAAGAGAGAGAGAGGGGGGAAGAGGAGAGAGAAAGAGAGAACGAGAGAGGCAGAGAGCAGATGGATGCATGGTGTAGACGAGTGTAGATTTACATCTCAATGACTGCGGGGCCGCCGCGGTGCTAATGAATGAATGAAGAGAAAGAGAGAGAGAGAGAGAGAGAGAGAGAGAGAGAGAGGCGGGGAGAGAAAGAGAAAACAGACAGCGACATTCATGTATAGTGATCACACATGGATTGGTGTGAACGAGAGAGATTCGAATCGACAACGAAGTCAAGACATCTAGATTGGCACCGTCGTACACTCGCAGTGCTGCGGGGCATGGTGAAAGTAGACCTCACAACGACTCAATCAGCGCTGCTAGAAAATGTCCTGAATGTCGCGGCGGCGGAATAATGTCTGTGACGGACGTACGCACGCGTGCGTGTGTGCATTCGTTAGTGCGTGCATGCGTGCTTGTTTTCGTTCATTCTTGTGTGCGCGCGCGTGTGTGGGTCTGCGTGTGTGAGTGCGTGCGTGCGTGCGCGCGCGCGCGCGCGTGTGTGTATGTGTGGGTGCGTGCGTGCGTGCGTGAGTGCGTGCATGCGTATTTTCGTTCCTTCGAGCGTACGTACGTACTACATCCATCCGTGAATGCGTGTCTGTGTTCGTGCGCTGCAGCGTTCGTGCGCGCGCGCGTGCGTCACACCACAACACACTGCCGTCAACAACAGCAGCTGCAAGTGGCGGAATTTTAACGTCAAACATCACGGGTAATGACTAAAGAGATGATAATTTCACCTCACATTTGCGCCGCCGCTGCCTAGCGAGAGCAGGAAGCCAAAATCCGATCAATATGCGGCCCATAGGTTGGTTAGCAGCACACGCAAACACGCAAGCTAATGGGGGTTAATGGGGGCGGGGGGGGGCGACCATCGTACCACTCTGCACCCACTGCCGATTCACTTATTGATCCGCCTAATGCCGCCCTCACAACCCACTCCGGGAAAAAAACGCGCTAGTTTCTTTTCTCGAAATAAATTATGAGTTTTCGAGTTTGACGATGAATGATGCACGGCGGTGGGTTAGGGGAAGAACCTGCATGGCAGATGTTGCAAGGAGTGACGACTGCGGGGTGACACGAGTGACAAGTTAAAGGGTCGACAACTCAACCAGCTCGTGTTAAACTCGACTCTAGTGCGAGGAGATGAGATGTCTGTCTAGGCGCATCTCGCTTAGAGCTTCACGGGGTCATGAACTGAACAGGGAAGCCTCGGCCATCGCCCACCATCGGCCGAAACGGCCTAGATTCGCTGCTTCGGTTTCACGCCGTTCCCACGTATCTTGTCCCCATCTATCTCAGACACCCACCTATCTCACCTTCATTCATCCCGTCGTCACTCACACAGACATTTATGCTTTTAGAGCACATTAACCGTCGCAACTTTTATTTTCATTTCATTTTACTCTTTATTGAACTTTAAATTTTGTAGCGGTACACCATTGCAGCTAAGCCTGCTTACTGTGACTGGTACTCGACGCATGACTTTGCCGCGCCTCAGTGTAAAAACTGCAAAAGCCCTGTGCCTACATTTAAAAAAACTCGTGTGATTCTGCCAGATATTACAAACCGATTGTCCATTTCTGAACAGTGTTGGAAAGCGCCAGCCCATAGACGCGCGAATTCACACTGCTGCGAAATTCACCGATCACCGGGGCCTGATCGTACATTCCTGCATTATTTCACGCTGCAACGCGTCGCTCGGATGTTCCGCGTACTCACAGCGGGATATCCGCTCTAATGGACAGCAGAGGAAGTGCGCATCATACGCCGGGAAGCGCCGGCCCGTTTCCTACGCGCACCCCACCCCTCCCCCAACGCTCGCGGCCACCACCGCATCAGCAGTAGTAGTAGCAACAACATCAGCAACAGCAGGAACAACATCAGCAGCAGTAGCAGCAACAACATCAGCAGCAGTAGCATCACCACCATCACCACACCAGCTGCAGCTGCAGCAGCAACAGCATCACTAGCGGCAGTAGCAGCAACAGCAGCAGCACCACTATAACAGCAGCAGCACCACTATAACAGCAGCAGCACTACTATAACAGCAGCAGCACCACTATCACAGCAGCAGCAGCATCAGTACAGCCACTGCACTAACCACCACCGCCAACCTTCGTCCCATGTTATTACAACCTACACGAAGGAATTCACTTGCGCGGTCACTCGAAATACATCGCGAAAGCCTTGGCGCTCTCATTCTACTTATAAAACGTGGGATTTCGTGAAAGTTTTCACGTCCCTCAAGGCCAGACGGAAAACGAAAATGGTGCGAACGAGATTAATCGTAGAAGCGTATAAACTAATATGGGGTTCACGAAAGTAGGTTCGGTGCTAGACACCGTTCTTATACGCAGTGTGTAGCTCTAGTGTGTGTGTGTGTGTGTGTGTGTGTGTGTGTGTGTGTGTGTGTGTGTGTGTGTGTGTGTGTGTGTGTGTGTGTGTGTGTGTACGCACGTGTGTG